GGGGGGGGGGGGGGCTCTTGGTGGGTCCTTTCTGAAGACTGACAGCGGCAAGTCTTGCAGTTCTGTGTAGAACAGGGGACCTTAAACGTTTTTTCTTTACCATAACACTGAGAGTTCCTAAGAACACAGGTTATAAAATGCTGACCTGACCCCTTCAGAAACTGTAAAAAGGAATCCTGAAACTTTGGCAGTTAATAGATTGCGTGGGCTTTCTTTGCCTGAGCCCTGCGCTCTGTCCTGGGGTAGCTCACTCCCTTTCTCCTCAGTGGTGCCGTTGCCAGCTGAGCCACCCAGCATCTTCCCTGTAACTGATGGTCTGCATCTCATAGTTTAGCACTGGAACTTAGGCAGGACCTGGGGATTCAGCAGCAAACCTGTACCCTGCCCTGGCCCAGCGGGTCGTTACAGCCCATGGTCACCATGCTTATGGTGGTGAGGGTTCAGATGGAGGCTCCAGGGTACTACAACAGCCTGCAGCCAGGCAGCTGGCCTACTCTGCAGCCAAGGGAGGCCCACACTGAGAAAGCAGAGATGGGCTAAGAAATGAAGGGTGCGTAGGAGGTAAGGGAGGAGCTCGGCAGGCAGTGCTGGGTGCAGCCTGCAGCCCCAAACAGACTGAGCCCCGCTGTTCTGTCATGTGACTCTCCAGGCGTCAGTGGTAGCTTTTCAGTGGGAGGAGCTGTGGATCGGTGCCTTTTCCATGTTCCACACAATACTGGATACACAATAGTGTTCAGACTTGCTTTTTTTATTGGTTTGAATTAAATAATTAGGTAGTTGAGCTTATGGCTGGCTCATCTTAGAGAAGTTTCATTCAATTTGAACTTCTGGAAACTTCTTTGTAAGGTGTGTTACTCATAAATAAGTTAACCGAAAGGAAACAGCTTAGCATTTAACAAGATGCTACATGATTGAGTGTCCTTCCCCTCTGTGTAGTTCAAATACTGACATTTTTTGTTCTGAAAAGAGTGGACTGCCATGAAACCTGGCAGGAAGAGCAAGCACTCTGTTCCGTTGCCTACCAGGAGCGTGGGCCAGCGCTGACGGAAACTGTGGAGGCAGGGCTAGCCGTCAAAACCAAGGGGCCTGGGAGGTTTTTATTCATGTCACAAAAGAAATCATATTTATTTGGGATTATATTAAGTAAACAAATTGGTGCTAATGAGGTCTGTTAGTCTCAACTTGTGAAATGTTCAAATTGTATAATTTTTGCAAAGTACCTATTGATTACTTTTAAGTCTGTGTTTATAATCTTTATCTAATTTCCAATAATATGTTTCCACTGAGCCCATTTAAAATTAACTTGCTTTTTAATGTCTGTCCTTTATGCATTAAATGTAATTTACTAAAATTTTTAATATTTCATCTTTGATAGGTTTAAATATACCTTCTACCATTTGATTTTTATTAATTTGCAAAGCCACCTTTTAACAAATCTTTTTTTTTTGGCCGTGTACATAGAGTGCTTTATCCTCCACAGAGTGATGCTTGCTAACGTGGGTTGGGATTGGGCTGATGTCTCATATGTACAGAGCTGAATAAAGTGGGTCTCTGAGAAGCCTGATGTGCCTTGATATGGAAAGGGAGATGGGGAAGATGGAAATGGACATGACAACCAGGGATGTGTTCAGTCTCCTGTGCTGGTTCTGGCCTGGAATGTAGGAAGATAAGGCGTCTCTCACTGTGGTCACTTCAGGCAGGGGATGCCTGCCAGGCTTGGAGGGCTTTTTGTACCACATCTTCCCACTGGGCATCCGATATCTCCCGAGCGCAGGCAGGCTTACTCCAGCCATCGTCCTTTTCACCAGCTCTGCATGTTCTGGGTACATGGGAACACAGCTGTGGTTGTTCAACGCTGTAGGTCCTTCCTCATCTTCATCTTCACTCTCTAATGGGGGTCTGGCAAATGAAGGCCCAGGGCCTGGATTCGATCCTGGATGCCAGCAACTTCATCTCCATCCCCGACTGGTGCCAGCTCCACCTCCTCTTGTTCAGGATCTTGGTTTAGGAGCTGGTAGGAGTAGCTAGCTGGGCCCGACCCTGTTTCCTCCTGTTCTTCCTCAGGCTCCTCACGGCTCCAATCCCCAGTGCCTTCTGAAGGGCCCTGATGTGGCCCCAGTTCCTCAGTCTGATTGGGGAAGATACACTCAGGGCCCATGCTGTCTCCCTCTAGAACTACTCTTGCCATCCTGGCAGGGTCCACTCAAATCCTGTGGCCTTCACTCAACAAATCTTTTTTTTTTTTTTTAAATGTAAAGAGTTTGGTGAGATTTTCATAAATTTGAATTTAATAGAGTCTGTATTGGCAATTGTTTTGTTTTTTGTTTTTTTGTTTTTGACAATTGTTTCATTACACAGTATAATTGCTAGCCTTTGAAAATGTTGTAACACTTGGTCCTGAAGTGGCTTACTATTTTTAACTTTAGTCTTGTGTTTAATTTTGATTATGCACACTATATGTTCATTGTAGAATTATTAGACAAAGATAATGAGCAAAAAGAAAATGGATATTAACTCTTAGTATTTTGGTATGTATCTTTTCAGACTTTTTTCTTTATGCATACATAATACATGTGTGTATTTTAAATTAATATCATACTGTTGTATGTTTTTTGTACTTGCTTTTTTCACTCAATATATTGTAAAAATTTTCCATAAACTATAGATGTATTTCTAGACCCCCCATGTTAGTGAGTGGATAATATTCCATAGTGTTAGTATGTCGTAAGTTATTTATACATCCTGCTGCTGGGCTTAGGTTATTGCTTACTTATTGTTATAAACAGCAATGTTATGAACATTTTTCTAGCTCAGATGTTGTGAATGTCCTTAATTATTTCAACATACCTTCCCTAAAGAAAAATTGCTTGGTAACAGGTTTTGTGGATTTTTCGAGTTTTTGCAAAGTGCGAGGCTGGTAGAGGCAAGGTTGACTTGTGATCTGTTTGGGCCCGTGGCCGTCGCGGTGGCTTGCTGAAGCTGCAGGCTGGAGCCCCTTGTTCCACGTGTGCCTCCAGCCCCTGCAGTCTGCCCACCTGGGGGATCATGCTGCCCTCCAGATTGTCCCCACCATCCCTGACTAAATTCATTGTTTTGGGTTCTCCTTTTCTGAGTTAACGATTTAGGCTTGATGTGACCTTCTGAAGTGTAGTTCTTTTTTACTTAAAATTTATGGTGATCTAGAAACAGTCCAAGTTGCGGGGTCTAATAAGAGAGAGGCCATATCGTGACTCTGTGTATCTGATTGATTTCTGGAAACAGTTACTGTTTCAGTGGTTGGCATTTGTGTTAGTTTCCATTTCATTCACCCCTGTAGGTATATAGGAGAATGTGTGTCTGGTTGGGAATAAATGCTGATAATTATATCAACATTGAGAATGCCAGAAGGATAAACTAACAAGCTCATAGGTCCCAGGAAGTTTCTATGGTGGAAAAGTACACGTTAGTCCTCCGGGGACCTTTGGAGTGAGTGGCTCTGGTCCCTTTGTCTTTAAGGGAAGAAAGTATGCAGTGGGTGGATTGAACAGAATGAAAGCCAGACACCAAGTTGTGAGTTTTGTTATTGGTTCTGGTTGTTCACGTGGTAGAACGTGTATAGTGGACACTGCTTCAGTGTTTTGTCCACTGGTTTATATTCCATGAATTTAGCCATCCCTCCAAAGGATATGCTGGGCGTGGAGAAAAGGAACTTAGAGTCAGTTTGTTTTGCTACTTTTTGGTAATTCAAATAAAGTATTTACTAAGGAGAACTGGTAAGCTCATAGAATCAATGTTTTAAACTTATTCCTGAGTTCAGATTCATTCATTATCTTTCTAAATTAATTACTATTACCAAGGCTAAAGAAATTTACCATTTCCAGCCTGTCAGATAAATACATTATCCTGTCCAAATCTGTTGGGAACTTTGTGTAATTTTGTGTGTTTGACCTTTTTACGTCATGAGTGCAGCCTCTTTGTAATTGAGCTGTTCAGCCCTATATGTTAAGCCATGCTCTAAGCCTTGATTTGTTACTTGTTTATTAAGGCTCCCTTTGAAGAGCTCATAGGCTAGTGGGAGGGATAGAGGCACAGAGAAGGAGGGTGTTTTCCTGTGAGGCCTGCAGCCTAGCAGCAGTGTGGACAGAGCAGCTGGGGCAGTGGTCGGGAGAGGTTCATTCATGAGGATGCCATGCCTGGGTGGAAGGAATGTGCTCATGAAGAGAGGAGAGCGGGAGGTCAGCAGGCTTGAGCCGGGTAGGAGAGGAAGTAAAGTGAGACATCATGGTCCTCGTATGCTGTGCTGAGAAATCTACATGGATCCTGTCGATCCCAAGGAAGCAGAATGGATTTTGAAGGAGGCAGGAAACTGAGTGAGGTGTGATCCTGTTATTTTACAGATCAGGCTCATGTAAATTCCTTTCTCTCTTTCCAGTTGATTTTATAGCAAACTCTCCTTTAAATTTCTGTAGAACTTACTGCTCATGTTCATGATCAGTTCATGATGAAGCCTTTTCCTAACCTGGTTTCTAACCACCTGCCTCATTTTCACTGTTTAAAGAAGAAAGAAGCCAGATGTGATGGCTCATGCCTGTAATCCCAGCACTTTGGGAGGCCGAGGCAGGAAGATTGTTTAAGCCCAGGAGTTTGAGACCAGCCTGGGCAACATAGCAAGACCTCATCTTTGCAAAAAAAAAAAAAAAAATACAAAAATTAATCGGGCATGGTGGTGCATGCCAGCTACTGGGGAGGATCACTTGAGCCTGGGAGGTGGGGGTTGCAGTGAGCCAAGATTGTGCCACTGCACTCCAGCTTGGGCCACAGACAAGACTCTGACTCAGAAAAAAGGAGGGAAGAAGAAGGAAGGAAATGGATGCTCAGGACAGTAGCAGCTGCGGAACAGTGGCACTGTGCATGGAGAGTCTTTCCCAGATAGTCTGTTCATGTCTTTGCAGGTGTGTGGTGCTCTCCGACCCCTTGAAGGACTCTTCTCGAACTCAGGAATCCTGGAATGCCTTCCTGACCAAACTCAGGACACTGCTTCTTATGTCTTTTACCAAAAACCTAGGCAAATTTGAGGATGACATGAGAACCTTGAGGGAGAAGAGGACTGAGCCAGGCTGGAGCTTTTGTGAATATTTCATGGTTCAGGTACTTGACTAATTGCAGAACTAGGCAGTTCCTTTCTCTCCCTCCCTCCCTCCCTTGCTCCCTCCCTCCTCTCTCCTTTCTTTCTAAGTGAGTCACCCTTTGTGGTAATCTCATTGGCACAGTTTTTAAAAACAAAAACCTGGAATATCTTTAGAACCAGAAAGTCAGGAAGTGTATGGAAGCAGATGGGGCATCAAAAGGTCACAGGCACTGCCCGAGGAGCCTCCGGTGGCCAAAGCTGGAGCAGCGTGAGCGACAGAGTAAATAAGGGTAGAGTTGCTAATATCCATGAATCTGTATTGATAGTCGTCAGTTAAATAAATAAATGGAGGAGAAGGGTCAACTCTTCCCTACAGAAGAATTCCACTTAAACACAGAAGGAAAGAAAAACAGAAAATCACTTTTAGGCCAACACCCCAGCCAGAACTGTTGGAGGCAGGATTACTGATGGATGCCCAGAGTGGTGGGCAAAGGCCTGAGAAGAGGTGGGCTTGCACAGTCTCACGGTGGCCCCTGAGATGTCTGTCAGCTTGAGGAGCAGTAGCCACTCTGCAGTGAGGAAACCAGGTACATACCACCTGAATGAACCGATAAGGCCAATCCCACCTGTGAGGACTTGTGTCCGTCTCATGAAATCCTTGGTAAGATGCGCTGAGAAAGACTTAGCATCTTTTCTCTGTAAAAAATGATAATCTCACGACAGTCATGGAACATGTCGAATGAACCTAAGTGGAGGGAGATTAGACAACCTAGCACTCTCCAAGGGTGCCACAGTGGTCAAAGACAGATGGAGAAACTGACAGACTACAGGGGGCTGAAGGAAGCAACAACTCTGGGCTGGGCGGGGGTCGGGGGTAGGGTCTTGGAGCAGAAACAGCTACGTCAGTGGAAAAACCACTGAAACTCCAATGAGGGCTGTTTAGTTAATAGTATTATACTTAGGTTAATTTTTTGGTTTTGACAATTATACCATGGTCATATAAGATGGCAGTGTTTAGGAAGCTGAGTAAGGGCTATGTGGAAACTAGATTTTTTTTTTTTTTTTTTTTTTTTTAAGTGATTCACTTGCCTCAGCCTTCTAAAGTACTGGGATTATAGGTGTGAGCTGCTGTGGTGGCCCAAACTACCTTTTTTTCTCTAGATTTTTTTTTTTTTTTTTTTTTTGCAACATTTTTGTGGTCTGAGATTGGTTGAGAATTTAAAATGAGTAAGGAAGGAAATTCTGACACATGCTACGGCATGGATGGACCTAGAGGTCGTGATGCTGAGTGAAATACGTCAGGCATGTACGGACAGATACTGTGATTCTGCTTATGTGAGGTTCCGCAAGTGCTCAGATTCAGAGACAGAAGAGGAGCGGGGGTGCCAGGGGCTGGCAGAGGGAGAATGGGAGTGAATGTTTAATGGGACAGAGCCTCTGTTTGGGAAGATGAGAAAGTTTTGGATATTGGCTGCGCACCAGTGTGAGTGCACTTAATGCCACTGAGCTGTACTCTTAGAGTCTTGCCCTGTCACCAAGGCTGGAGTGCAGTGGTGCGATCTCGGCTCACTGCAACCTGTTCACCTGCTGGTTTAAGCGATTCTTCTGCCTCAGCTTTCTGAGTAGCTGGGATTACAGGTGCCCGCCACCACGCCCAGCTAATTTTTATATTTTAATAGAGACAGGGTTTCACCGTGATGGCTAGGCTGGTCTCAAACTCCTGGCCTCAAGTGATCTGCCCACCTTGACCTCCCAAAGTGCTGGAATTACAATCGTGAGCCACTGTGCCCGGCCTGAGCTATACTCTTAAAAATGGTTAAGATGGTCAGTTTTAATGTTACATACATTTTATCACAATTTAAAAGAAAAAGATTAGTTTGAGTACTCAGTCTTGAAAATACTTCACAAAGAAAAGGAAGTTCAATGTAACTTAGCAGTTTCTCTTGTAAAACACAGCCCACTCGTGTTTTCAGGGGAAACAAGATACAAAGGAAGGAAAGGAGAGCTCTCAGTTCTTACCTAGTGAGTGGGACCTGGGCCCTTAGGAGTCCAGGAATAATGTCCACAAGTACATGGGGTAGAACTGGATTCCAAAGACCTGACCATATCAGGGGAGGCTTATGTGGGTGCACATCCTCCTGGGCTTTACTTCTTAATGCTCAGTAACAGAGATCAGAAAGCAATCGCCTGTCACTGTCTCTCTTCATTTTCTCATTCTACAAAGGTTACTGTGCATGGACGGGTGCCAGGCCCTCCTCTCAATGCCGGGACCCATCAGTGCACGTTTCTTATGAGGTTGTGTGACAGTGGAGGAGACACAGGAAACGAAGTGATGCAGATGCTAGGGCGAGAGTGCCGCAGGCAGAGATGGTGTGGGACTTAGCCAAAGCGGAGATGGTGTGGGCGCTGGGCTGCGGGCAGGAGGAGGAGAGGCCCCACTGGGCTGGGACTTAGCCAGAATGGGGATGGTGTGGGCGCTGGGCTGAGGGCAGGAGGAGGAGAGGCCTCACTGGGCCGGGACTTAGTCAGAGCTGCAGGAGGCTGCAGAGCAAGCCTGTGGATGTTTAGAGGAAGAGGAGGAGTTCCAGGCCCTGGGATGGGGTAGCACACAGGCCCCCAGGCAGCTGCCTGCCACGCACACGCACATGTGAGCAGCAATGAAGAGGCCTTGGTGGTGGAGCTGAGTGAGGCCAGAGGGGTGCTGTTGGAAAAGGGTGGGGTGGGAGACATAGATTTTGCAGGGCCTGGGGATGCCTTGAAAGGATTTAGGATTCTCTTTTGCATGTGATGAGCAGCCGCTGACTGAAATGGGGAAGACTGGGCGGAGCACTTGGGAAAGGGTTGGGTTTCCATGTGTAAGCCTGAGCTGTCTGTTAGGGGTCCACACAAGCGTACTGTGCATGCCACTGGAGCCAGAGTCGGGTCTGAGCTGTAGTACTAAACGTGGTGGTTATGATGTGTAGATGGCACACAGAGCCATCTCCACATCACTCGGGGGCTCGGTCACTGACAGGGAATAGTGAGTGCTGATAGGAAGGTCCAAGGGCTGAGCCCTGGGGCCTCCAGCAGAGAGCCTGGGAAACAAGAGGAGCCAGCCGCCTGACCAGAGGGAGCTGGAGTGAGGGGTGAGGGGAGCAGGGGGCCGCGTCCTGACACCGGGAAGCATCCCAAGGACAAGGGGTTGACCAGTATGCCCGGTGCTGCCAATAGGTCGGGGTTACTAAGAAATTACCTTGGCCTTTTTCAGCTTCTCCTGCATGCGTGAATGTTGACATGTATGGTCATCACTTATTCATAGTGCTGCACGCCTTTCTCTGTTGTAATCTTTAATGTCTATTGTGTCTTTCATAAGTTGATTTACGTTTTTGCTTTTTTAAAAAATGCATCTTGGGTGAACAGGAGGAGCTTGCCTTTGTTTTCGAGATGCTGCAGCAGTTTGAGGACGCCCTGGTGCAGTACGACGAGCTGGACGCCCTCTTCTCTCAGTATGTGGTCAACTTTGGGGCCGGGGGTGAGTAGCGGCGCTTCAGTACCTCGTCCTTCTCTTAGTGTGCCCTTCTCCACTTTCGGATGGTCTCGAAGTGGCCGTTTATTTACCTAATGAGTGCACATCTTTTGCTGTTGTTTTTATACACATCATATCGGATATGTTCTCATGATTCCTAGAGGAAATGAAATGAGAATTAAGAATAGTCGTTTTCAGTTTTAGAAGAATCTTAAGTAACAAAAGCAATTAGAAAAAGCTGTTTTCCAGGTCTGAAATGCCCTTTCTACAACTCAGTGGCCTGCTGGTGATGCTTCCAATTCTGTCCCTTGTTAGAATCAGAGGGGACAGACGTCCCTTTCCCTTCTGTCCAGGGGTGTCTTTGGAATGCTCAAGTGCTCATTGCTGTAAGCTTATATAATACGCTTGGGTGTTCATCTTTCTTTTACATTTTAAAATAAACCTTAAGTTCCTTTAAAATTAAAGAACTGGCACAGTGAAACCATGCACAAAGAGAAACACTGGTTACTGTCCTCAGTGTTTTTCACTGGTACTTACTTTGATGAAAGTGATACCATGTTATGTAGATGTTTCTCTGTCGCTCCTTTTTCTTGCTCATAGCCCATCGAGGGCATCTCTCCAGGTTAACAGGGAAGGTTTGGAGTTGTATTTGTTACAGTTGGGATTCCTGGCTCAATTCTGTTCCCTGGTGTTGGACATTGGGTTCTTTTCTGCTTCTCGTTACCACAAGCAGTGCTATAGTGGGCATCTTTGCCAGTGTCCTTTTGGAGAACCCTTGTCACCATGTGTAAAGGAAGGAGTAATTTCGAGGAGCCTCGGGGTCAGCTGGAGGACCTGGAGGGTGATTAAGTGTGGGAATGGTCAGCGTTAGCTGTGGGCACTGTCCTCACTCTGGAAATAATCAGCAGTGCCGATGGGTACTGGCTCCTAGTGCTTATGAAGTTCAGATCTGGATATCTCACTCTCCTGAGATGCCAAAAGAGACATATAACCAATGAAAGTGTCTGCTAAGTAAAAAACAATAGAAGAGGTAAAACACTATTGCTTATATGTTACATATCCAATTTATTTATTTATCTGTTTAGAGACTGAGTCTTGCTCTGTCACCCAGGCTGGAGTGCAGTGATGTGATCTCAGCTCACTGCAACCTCCGCCTCCTGGGTCCAAGGGATTCTTCTGCCTCAGCCTCTCCAGTAGCTGGGATTACTGGTGTGTGCCACCACACCCAGATAATATTTGTATTTTTACTAGAGACGGGGTTTTACCATGTTGGTCAGGCTGGTCTTGATCTCCTAGACTTCATAATCTGCCCATCTCAGCCTCCCAAAGTGCTGGGATTACAGGCGTAAGCCACCGCACCCGGCCTGTTTATTTATTATTTATTTTTGAGACAGTGTTTCACTCTGTCCCCCAGGCTAGAGAGCAGTGGTGCGATCTCGGCCCAGTGCAACCTCTGCTTCCCAGGTTCAAGTGATTTTCGTGCCTCAGCCTCCTGAGTAGCTGGAATTATAGGTGCGTACCACCATGCCTGGCTAACTTTTATATTTTTAGTGGAGACGGGGTTTCACCATGTTGACCACGCTGGTCTCGAGCTCCTGGCCTCAAGTGATCCTCCCGCCTTGGCCTCCTAAAGTGCTTAGATTAGAGAGATGAGCCACCGTGCCCAGTCTATACATACATATTTTTAACATATCTTACTTTTTTTTTTTTTTGAAAATACATTCGGTCCGGGTGCAGTGGCTCACATCTGTAATTCCAGCACTTTGGGAGGCCAAGGTGGGTGGACCATGAGGTCAGGAGCTCAAGACCATCCTGGCTAACATGGTGAAACCCCATCTCTACTAAAAATACAAAAAATTAGTCAGGCGTGGTCGTGTATGCCTGTAATCCCAGATACTCCAGAGACTGAGGCAGGAGAATCATTTGAACCCAGGAGGCGGAGGTTGCAGTGAGCCAAGGTCACACCACTGCACTCCAGCCTGTGTGACCCAGCAAGACTTGATCTCAAAACAAACAAAAAAATAAGAAAAAAATATTTATTTTGCAAAAGAAGTTTGAATTTAATAAAGAAATGGTAATAACTGGTACATACATTAATTCAAAATATTTTCACTAAGCACCAAATAGAATAGTCCCCAGTCTTTTCATGGAGAACCCCTTTGAAAGAATGCCCAGAACTTAATCAGTTTATTTAGGTTTTTAATCAAGAAATCTAAAACTGCCAATCAGAGTTTCTAATTACTATGAGATGAGCAGGTTAACAACCTTGAGGCCATATCATACGAGCTTGCAAAAGTTGTGTTTAACCTGTACATTCTAACTGAGGGCATTTGGTGGCCTCGGGCAGGCTGGTAATCACAGGTCCATGTGCCTGTGATGCCATATACACACACAACATCGAGTTCTAAGTGTCATTTCTTAGATAAAGACCGTATGGTCCCTGGCAGCAGAATAGGTGCTTGGAGTTCCAGGGACCAGGCACCTGAGTGTGGAGGTCAGTGCATGTGGGAAGGGCCTTCAAGGCTGAAATAGCTTACATATTTCTGATATTTCACCTAATGTATTTGGTTTTTTTCTGTCACTTTTTAAATCTGGGGCAATTTAAGATCCAAAAGTAAGCCTGGACCAAGTTTTGCCGCTGAGTAAGATGGTTCATTTTTGTTCTTTCATTCAACAAATACTTAAGGACCACTGTGTGCCAGGCACTGTTCTAAATACAGGGAGGTATAAAACAAAATGCCTGCCTTTATGGCACTTACATGAGGGGGAACTGGCACAGAAAAGTAAATCTGTCACTTGCCGTCCATAGTAGTAAGTTGGAGCTGTAGAAAGAGGCTCAGGAGAGGGATGGGACGGTACGTTCCCTTGGAGCTTAGGGCACTGGGGTGGCCTCTCTGTGGGGGCGGCACTGGCACAGAGACCTGACGGAAACGTGGCAGTTCTCCATGAGAATCCTGGTGGGAGGGGAGCCTAGCAAAGGGAACTGCCGGCGCTGGGACGGCGGGCACACCACATTACCATGTCGCACTGCCACACTGCACTGCTGTGTGCGCCAGCAGCTCTGAGGAGGAGCTCACGTCAGTCAAGGGAGCATTACCCGGCATTGGCACGTCAGGTATTTAACCATGTCAGGATGCCGTGTAGGAACGAGCTGGTTTTGACACCTCTCTGTTGGAGTGAGAAAAACACATGAAAACGTTTTTTCAATAATGATTGATGGACTTGTTGTTCTACATTGTTATGCTTATTTTGAGATGATATTTGAGTCTTAGGAGTGTAAGGAAACCTCTGGGAGCCCTGCTGACATTTTTGACAAGCAGTCATCCTTTTTCCCTTCTGCGTGCTGCTGCCAAGTCCTCCCTGTCCCTTCGTCTAGGAGCTTGACTCAGGGAGGTGATGTGGTTGAGTTAGGGAAATAAGGAAGGCATATGTAGTCTAAGGAAGACCGAGAACAGCAGGATGGTCAGAGCAGGCTGCACTCCAGCCCACAGGTGAAGATGATGAAGCTCAGGCACACTGCAGCCCAAGACTAGAGCCCTCCCTGGGCCTGAGACGGCCTGAGCCTTCTTAACCGTGCAGCCTGTCGGTCTCTGAGTGGCTTCCCGACCTGTTCAGCTCCCACCCATGACTTTCTGGGCATGGTAGGGCGCTGGGCCTTGTTGCCTGGGTCATATTTCGCTCAGCTTGGATGTCAGCACTGGGAGCCACATGGGTGCACATCCCTATCCCTAGACCAAGAGTGGGGTGGGCAGTGGTCATAGAACTGGTTATGAAGCTGCCTGTTTGCCCACCATCCTCAGCCTGAGCAGGAAGCTCAGGAAGGTGAAGTATCCATAGTCAGCACCTTTCATGATGTGTGTTTGTTTAGATGGTGCCAACTGGCTGACTTTTTTCTGCCAGCCAGTGAAGAGCTGGAACGGATTGATCCTCCGAAAGCCCATAGATATGGAGAAGCGGGAATCGATCCAGAGGCGAGAAGCCACCCTGTTAGATCTGCGCAGTTACCTGTTCTCTCGCCAGTGCACCCTGCTGCTCTTCCTGCAGAGGCCGTGGGAGGTGGCCCAGCGCGCCCTAGAGCTGCTGCACAACTGTGTGCAGGAACTGAAGCTCTTAGAAGTGAGTTGGCTCTTTTCCCCATTAACCCATTGCCTGATTGTGCCAGCATAGGCATTGAACTGTTTGCACTCAAGAAAGAGTTTTCTTGTCTGCATGTCTGTAATTGATTATTTGCTCAGTTACCTTTTACATTGATTAATTGCTCAAAAATAGAACTCTGCTCTCAACATGGTGAAGTTTGTGCTGGTCCAGAGCAAGCCTCTTAGATGAGCTTCTCAGTGAGGCTCCCTGGCTGGCTGTGGCCTGCACTGCTGCATGAGCAGTCTCCACGGGGAAGAGTCGTTCACCTGAGGGACACGCAGAGCTCGGTTTTGCATGAAGACGTTTTATTTTATTTCCTGTAGACATTTATTTTATTTGTCTTTTCAGGTAAATAGTTTCACACATGGCCATGCAGGTGTAATGTGACTGACACACAGCGGCTATGCCCCATTGATTGGTGGCACAAAGCTTAATGGAAGCTATGTCATCTCACTACACTTACTGCACTCCTTCCCTGTGGGCAGTTAGGAGTTCACCTAAGCACTGAACTCACCGCCCACAGGGAAGGGGTGTAGAGACGGTATCCAGTCTGCTGATTCTTGTTTCAGTGTCCTCTTTACCCAGAACAGCTCACACACACATACAGGTGATAACTTGCGACTTGAGGATTCGTGTATACCCCTGCCCCTGATCCCCTGGCTAAGATCTCCTGAGTGAGTGGTCAGACTATTTTGTAAAGAAGGAAACGAGTCTGGAAGTGATAGGCAACTTACCCCGATCATACAGCTGGCTAGTCCTAGAGTCCTGTCCAGGGGAGTGTCCTTTTGGCCTACATAATTGAGTTCTGGGGACACTGTCATCGTGCGGCCTTTTAAAGAAGGTCTGAAGAGTAGAAGCTGTTGGTGGGGATGGTGTTTCATAATAGAGGAACATGTTTTTGTGTACTTCGTTTGAAATAATTTTTAAGAGATAAATGAAGATAAATGTATTTTAGTTAATTTCAAAAGGAGAAATTCTTATTTCAGAGCTAAGCTCTGTACTAGCCTAAGTCACAAACTCAGAAACTTAAGCATTTTTACCAAATGATTTTTCTTCCCCTAATCAAGAAAATGAGGAAAAGCCACATTTTCCACCTCGAAGTGACACCCTGGGCCACCTGTAATCACATGGATTTAGAGACTCTTTTCGGTTTGCTCAGCCCTAACTCTGCAGGTTGGGGAGGGGGCTGTGAGGGGACCCTTCATTCCTAGAGCCGGGCTGTCTGTTCATGTGTGCCTAGGGATTTCACCTGATTTTGAGATTTTTGTCCTACTAGTTGATAGGGGGAAAAAATTGAGGTATTTGAGTCCAAATGATTCAGACATGACATCTGAGCGAGATGGCCCCAGGAGGGCTGATTGGAAAGGGCTGTTGCCCAGTTTGGGGCAGGTGTAGGAAGCCTCGGAGGATGGTGCAGACTCAGTCCCTTTATTGCTGGGCTCTGCTGATTCATGAACGCCAGGATTTAAGAATCTCAAGTTGTTTTTCCAGCCTCAGAAGCTTGTCTGGGAATAGCAGGGCTGCTGTCTTGCAGAGGGAGGAGAAAAATCCCCATAGGCAGGCAGGGCGAGTGCAGAGTGGGCTGACCCGGGGGCTGTGCCTTGCAACTCAGGGGGCCACTGGCCCAAGGCAGTTCCACAAGGAGGGAGGTGGGCACCTACACACACCCCTCCGTCCTTCCCTCTGAACTCCTCCAGGCACTCTGGAAGCTGGAAGTCAGGGAGCCCCCTGATGTGTTATATACAGCTCCCCCAGCAGAGAGCAGGGCGCCAAGATGTGGAAAGTGGATCTGAGAGGCCAAGCAGAGATGTCCTTTTCCTCTGCTGGCACGAGTGTGCTTGCCCCACCGTGGCTGCCCTCGTGCAGGCCTGTGCAGGTGGCGTGGAGGCTTGGGGAGCAGCAGCATAGCATGTGGTGCTGCACTCACTCCTGGCAGAGCTGCACGCTCACCTCCTCCTGTGGGCTTTCCTTCTGTGGAGCAGGCTCTTAGGGACTTCTTAGCATTTCTCCTGAGTTCTGGAATGCCTGAAGCCATTGTGGAAGGAGGTGGAAATAGGTCTGTTACTACCATGTGCCTGGAAGGAGAAATGTGTAAGTAATTGAGGGTGTGGGCTCTAGACTTCTGGGAGCGTCAGGGTTCACAGGAGCCGCACGGGGTCTGCTGGCTTCTCTAGGCCCTCGTCCACACCTATGGGAAGTCACTGAGGCATTTTCAAGGCTTTGTATTGTGTGAGGAGCTTCTTATCTGCGGTGTATTTTCTGAGCCCTTTTCTTTGCTGAATGAAGTTGTTGTCCCCTTGATCTTTCCTTGAGTGGAGGCTGCCCCATTCCTTTTAGTCATATTTATTGCACTTCTTTGCACTGTTGAGTTGTGCATCCCTAATGAGAGGAGGTGGCCAAAGCCGAATGCTGGATTTGAGGCAAGGACATGCCACCCACTGTTGACTTTCTCACAGTCTCTCAGGCTCTTTCCTTCTAAGAACCCACTTCCTGTTTCCTCGTCTCCTTCTGATGCATACAGCTGGATGCCTCTCCTTAGCACAGCTATGCCTTTTGGCTTCCCGGCTCCCGGGCCGGAGAGGACAGCCTTTCTTGTCGCTTGTGTTGAAGCCCACATAGTCCTCTTCGCACACTTTGTTCCTGTGTTGGATCAACACTGAGGTTCACACTGTTTATTTAGAGGATTTCACCAGTAACTTCATGTCAGAAGTGTTTCTCTTTCTCTCCTTTTTTAAAAATTTTTAAATTTTTTTGTAGCGATGAGTGTCTCGCTGTGTTGCCCAGGCTGGTCTTGAACTCCCGGGCTCAAGTGATCCTCCCTGCTCACCTCCCAAAGTGCTGGGATTCTAGGCCTGAGCCGCCATGCCTGGCTGTGACTTTCTCTCCTGTACAGTAGTTTTTACTCCTATCTAGTTGTTTAGGGCTACAGTTGAGCGGAGGCTGGGGGGTAGGTGCTCCACGTTCCAGGGGGTGGCTTATCAGACACGTCCTGGTTACATCCTGGTTGGTTTACCAGTTGATTTAAAGTACCTCATTTATTTAAAGAGAATGGGAGGCAACGAAGTGGGCAGCTGTGATGGAAATGAGCCCTGCCTCTGCTGTAGGGGTTGGTCCACACTCCAGGGACAACGAGGGCTGAGATGGGGAGCAAGATGGCCTGATAGAGGCCTCTACCCTGTGGGTGCCACTTATTAGCCTTGGACCCACTCTCTTGATGGGAAATGTGTAGGAATGGAAACTGTGCCTTCCCTGCACAGCTAGCTAGCTGCTGGGGTAAGCGGTAACTACACCCATGAAGTGGGGCCAGTTGCGCAAGTTCAGGATCCTCCTTCACAGAGTGTTTCCTCCTTTTTTTCTATAGCAGTTTCTTATTTTCCCTCCATTTACAAAAGTTGATTGTTTTCTTTATGTAAATTTGGAGAATACAGACAAATATACGGAAGAAATGTTGATTTTGCTAGCAGGAAGAGGTTCACTTTTTTGCCTGTGGCCGCCTTATGTATCGATGAACTGAATTATTTCCTTGTTCCTAGTTGGACATTTGCATTCTTCAGAATTCTTTGCAGTTGCAGTAGTTTGTATCCCTGTACATACATCTTTGTGTGTAAATTCATACACGTACAATTGGAAGATCAAAGATAGATATGTTTTTAAAGCTTTTGTCCTACGTCAAGGTCTTCCCATTTTCAGTCATGCTAGTGATGCCTGTTTTCCTGCACCTTTGGTAAGAAAAAAATATGATGTGTATTTATTTTGTTGCCAAATTAGAAGAATGAGGAAGATACTTTCTAGAAGGCCATAATGTGTTTGTTACAATGATTACCCAAGTGATTTTTCTGGGGGAATTTGGAATGTGTTTCATTCAGCACCGTTACCTTTTGTCAGCTTAAGTTCTGGTTACGTAGGAGACAGCAGACCTGTGGGCCTAGCAGGGTCAGGACTCCTCCTAACCCCAGGAGAATCACCCAGCCGAGCCTGGGACATGGTGGAACCGCGAAGGGGACGCCGTCAGAGTTAGGTGGCCAGTTTGTGAACAGAGGCTGTGTGTGGCCCACCTGCAGGTTTAACCAGAGAAAGAAGAAGGTTTATAGTCAAAGGTGGCTGGTTGGGATTGGCATTCTGAGGTACAGGTTTGGCAGACATGTAGCCTGGGGAATGTCGGTTGTGTTTACTAAGGGCTTACAGTGTACCTGACACCCTGCTGGGTGGGCCTGCTCTTGGGGAGGGGGATCTTGTGTGACCCTGAGCCCTGAGGGCCTGAGCTGGAGGAGTGGTAGGAGTGGACCAGAGGAGGAGGGGGGGTGGTTGTGAGAGGTATTGCTGAAGAAGAACTGATGGCTCCCTGAACAAAAGGAAAGAGAACACAGAAGAATCATTCAAGAAATGTGTCCTTGCCTGCCAGGTACTGTGGGAAATGGGTAGGGGGAGCACATAAATGAAGAGGAAAGGGCTCCCCCTGCCCGAATGAGGCTGCCACGAATAATTAGCACAGTGTCCAAGTAGTGACAAAGTGTTGTCACGGGACCGTAAGGGAGGGAAAGGTAGCCTTGCCGGGTGCCTCAGGTCAGCTTGGTAACATTTGCAGGTGTCTGAGAGGTGCTAGGAAAGCTTTCTAGAGGAGGCCCTGTGTGAACTCCATTACAAAGATTCATTGGCTCAGCAGATCTTCATTGAGCATCTGTTTTGTGCCAACCATTGTGGTAGTCACTGTATTTTCAGCAGAGAGTGAATAGAATCCCTGGTCTTACGAAGCTTACATGCTAAGGAATGAGCAGGAGGAGTAAAACTTCACCAGGTAGATGTGGCTGATGGCGGTGCGGGAGAGCGCATCTCAGGCAAAGAAGATGGCGTTAGCGAAGGCACCGTGAAGGAGCCTGGTTTCGCTGCAACTTCAGGGGCAGGGCAGAGCTTGGTGACAATGAAGGGAGATTCTGTAGGTCTTTGTGCGTCACCTTGAAGGTTGCCCTTTGTTCTGTGGC